AATATGAGTTGCTGTTCCTGCAACCTTAGGGTGGCATCGTTGTGGCAGTGCAGGAGGCCCAGGATGGACATGTCGTCTGAGGAATGGGAGGGGGATTTGAAATGGTTCGCGACTGGGAGGTGCAGTTGTTTAGTGCGAACCGAGCGTAGGTGTTCTGCAAAGTTGTCCCCAAGCCTCCACTTGGTTTCCCCGATGTAGAGGAGGCCACAACAGGAACAGCGGATGCAGTATACCACATTAGCAGATGTGCAGGTGAACATCTGCTTGATGTGGAAAGTCTTCTTGGGGCCTGGGATGGGGGTGAGGGGGGAGGTGTAGGGGCAGGTATAGCACTTCCTGCGGTTGCAGGGAAAAGTGCCGGGAGTGTGGAGCGGACAAGGGAGTCATGGAGAGAGTGGACCCTCCGGAATGCAGATAAGGGTGGGGAGGGAAAAATGTCTTTGGTGGTGGGGTCGGATTGCAGATGGCGGAAGTGTCGGAGGATGATGTGTTGGATCCGGAGGTTGGTGGGGTGGTACTTGAGGACAAGGGGGATTCTTTTTTGGTTGTTATTGCGGGGAGGGGGTGTGAGGGATGAGTTGTGCGAAATGCAGGAGACACGGTTGAGGGCGTTTTCGACCACTGAGGGGGGGGATGTTGCGGTCCTTGAAGAATGAGGATGTACGGGAGTGGAATGCCTCATCCTAGGAGCAGATGCGGTGGAGGCGAAGGAATTGGGAATAGTGGATGGCATTTTTGCAGGAAGGTGGGTGGGAGGAGGTGTATTCTAGGTAGCTGTGGGAGTCGGTGGGCTTGAAATGGATATCGGTTTCTAGGTGGTTGCCAGAGATGGAAACAGAGCGGTCCAGGAAGGAGAGAGAGGTATTAGAGATGGTCCAGGTGAACTTAAGGTTGGGGTGGAAGGTGTTGGTGAAGTGGATGAACTGTTCGAGCTCCTCGTGGGAGCACGAGGCGGCGCCGATACAGTCATCGATGTAACGGAGGAAGAGATGGGGTTTAGGGCCAGTGTAGCTACAGAAGAGGGAGTGTTCCATGTAACCTACAAAGAGGCAGGCGTAGCTTGGGCCCATGGGATGAATATGGAGAACTTAGTTTGCATTGTGCTGGTGCAGGTTACTGTAATTGGTGAGCAGTAGAAGCAATTTGAGGTGACTAAATTTAAAGTATTTTATGTAATTGTATTAATGCCTTTCTATGTCAAGTTTGTTGCCTTTTTGATGCCAGTATGTCTAATGGCAATTTTGCTGCCGAATGTAAACCTTGTACTATGTTAGGTATGGACTTGTTTTCTATTCAGTGGCACTTTATAAATTTTGGTGTATTTTTCCAGCCTGGAAGCTGAAGCTCCATGTTAACTCTGACTCGTTATAAATTGGATGTGGAGCAATGGCAGTGTTGTCTGTTAAAGCTCCCAGGCTCTTGTGGTAATTGATTTTCTCTTGGGATTAGAAAAAAATAGTTCAGTCTCTGAAACTGAAAAATTATGGCATCACTAATGTGGAAATATGAAAACTATTTCCACAGTTCCTAGACTGCGTACATGTGTTCTAAATTTAATCGGTACCAAATTCTGGATTAGTCAGAAAGAGGTTTATTGAAAATAGGTTGGTAGAAAATTTAGGTAACATTTTTTATAAGACCAATATGAAGCTTTTTATTCAGATTGTACAATTTAAAAAACTAATAAAAGATATCATGATGAGAGCAGAGGAAGAAGGAAAGAGAGTTTTTTAAAAAAAACCTCCGGCAATAAGAATGGGTGCCAGTTTTGAACATTTTAAGTGTTTTGCTAACTGCATATTTAACTGGAGAGCACAAGTGCACTCCCTTAACTTTCTCCTGCACGTTTGGTATTTGGAGATATGCTGGGAGTACACTAACACAAACGGAATTTAGGTCTGAGAAAGCTTACCATAAACGTGTGGGCATTTTCATGATGTAATTGTTACAATGCACATGTGAAAATGTACCGTTTTCTGCTCTGGGGTTTTTTTTTTACTTTACTGACTACATACTATAAGGAAGCTGCACTTCAGATGCACAATTCATTATCCTTCCTGTAACAATGTGTTCCTCCATTTCCAAGACTAGGAAAATAGTGAATAATGGATGATGTCTATGTAGGCAAGATGAAATTTAAATAGGTTGCTTAGCCATATGCATGTTATAATAGCACTAGAAAAGCAATCTGAAGTAAAAGTGAATCCAGCTCTGTATTATCCACTTTACTGCAGAGTTAAAAGTTAAATTTATATTCTATAATTTTTAATCTAAGAGAAATGATTGAAGGCAAAGAGGTCAGATGTTTCTCATTTTCCCTTTGCTGTTGTTAAAGGCACGTACAATTCAATTGGGAGCCTTCTTACTGCTGCATGAACATTTCCTCTAATTGATTTCCTTGTGAATTTGCCCAGCGTTTTAAGGGGTCCTATATGTTTATACCAGTGATTTATTATAATTGACTCATCATTCTGTGCACCCTGTATCTGTGAATGTTTGTTTGTTGAAACCTCTGTTACAGTATATAAAATATTTAAAAAACTCTCCATCTGAATTGTAGTAAATTCTGTTTTATTTATTTACAGAAGCTTTGAAAACAAATAATGAAAAATCAGTGTCAAGATTCCAAACTCTGAAGGAAAGTCCAAAGTGTGCTAAACTACCTCGCCCAGCTCATGTTTTCTCCTGATCAAGAAAATCTTTCTTCATCTACCAAAGCACCCATTAAATATGGAGAAATCATTGTGTTAGGGTAAGCATTTGCAAGTGTATTTAACGAAGAGATAAAAGGAATTACTGATTATTAAACATTTTGTCCCAAAACACTGATCCCTGCTCTTTTGGTGTACATTTAAACAATCTGTTATTTATAAAATACTCCTTTAGTAGTCCTCCTTTAAAATCGACCAAGCTTTTCATCTCTTAGTGACCACAGTATCTGCTCCTTTGACCTGACAGCTTTTTTATTAAAATGGCATCTCTATAAAGCATGGAGTACTTTTAAGTATTACAAATGGACGTTGTTGTTGGTTGAGATGATTTGATCTCATTTTGGCTTTGGAGAAACTCCATATGTTTACAGATTATTCTTTTTCTAATGTTGCATTCCACTTTTACTTGCAATTTCAATCTGGATGGATTTCCCAAAGTTCTGAAATATTTTTGTAGTCATACAGCATATAAGTAGGCCTCCGGCCCACCATGTTTATGCCAACCAGCAAACCAACTACACTCATCCCATTGACCCGCACTTAATCCATAGCCTGAGGCTGAAGGAGGGAATCTGATTGTGTGGTATACAAAATTGAGATGTATAGACAGAGAAGATCCTTTTCCCTGGTAGATGTGTCTAAGCCCAGAGGGGATGTGTTTAAGTTGAGGAGCAGGTGGTTTAGATTGGGATCATTTTGGATCTCTTTGCCCGTGATAAATTACTGCCAAATTCTGCATATTTCCTTGCTGTTAAATCTAAAGAGAAGCTGCATATTTTTAAAAAAAAAGTCTGTGAAGCTACTTAGTTTATGAAGTTACCAAAAAAAAGTCTAATTGAAATTATCACATTGAAGCCCTTTAAAAGGTTTCCCTTTAAAAGGCAATGCAGGTGCTTGTCCTTGTTACTTACTTTGTCTCTCTCCTGGGGTTAAATCATTAAACTTGGCACAAGTGATGAAGTGAGTAAGATTAATAGATGGTAATTCTTTGGCAGCCTTCCATTGTATGAGGTCTTTGGTTTTATACCTGGGAAGTTATCCAATGAATGTGGTTAATTGTTGGTTGTTGGTTTAACGAGTTTATGTTGATGGAATTAGTCCACTTCAGGATCTCTTGAGTTGTTGACCTTGTCCTGCTAAGAGATGCTGATGATATATCTGACGCCTTCACTGTCTCAAATGCATCGTCAACATCTCTTAGCAGGACAAGGGCAACAACTTGAGATCCTGAAGTGTACTAACTCCAGCAATATAAACTCGCTGTTAAACCAATGCAGTGAATGTGAAAACTATTCAGTCTTGTCTTTTGCCTATGGTCAGCTGTCAGCACTGTGGAAGAGTGGACTGAGCATGCAAATTTGCTGGACTTCTGTCTTCTCAGTCAGATTGTTGTTGTTGTTTCACAACTTGGACATCTACCACACTGCAAAAATTGTCCTGTTTTGATTTTTAGCATCAAGTGACATTGCTAGTGATTTTGGAGCAGACATGTGTGAAGTTCTCAATAATCTTCAACACCACATTACCAATGCTGATAGAAGCACCCTGGATCATGATGTTTGTCTTCCTGATGTTGATGGGTCAAACCAAACTCTTTCCAGGAGCAGGACAGTTGGTCCATTTGCTGTTCCAAGTGTTCTTCTGTATCAAATGTTCATACTGCTCATCATTGCCGAGCAGATCTTTGACAACAAGACACACCTTTGGTTTGGATCTCAGATGAGCATGGCTGAACAGCTTTCTTTCAGTTTTGGTTACAAGCAGGCACCCTCTACAAATGACCTAAGATCTGTGACAGCAACAAAGAGAAGAATATATGAGAGTTTCAATGCCAGAACACAACCCCATTGGACTCTACTATGAATGTCAAAAGTCCTGATGTTGCCTTATCCTAGGTTGACCTTCCCCATATGTTGCCATGGAAAAAGGAGGGCACATTGAGCAGCATCAGTGCGCAGCCAGTTCTCTTCCTTTTTAAGTTGATCATTTCTGCTTCCATAATGAATGCCTTGGTGAGAAGGATGGTGACTTTATTTGGGGTCTGTATGCTACTCCTACCAATGTCATTTTTCCCTTGTTGTTTTCTACCTCCACTGCCCAAATTGACTTTACAACACGTGAGCTTAGGTCACCTCTCTTACCTGTCCTCGTTTCAACTCTTATTGACAGTTCTACCCCACTATCTGTTTCTCTACTCCCATTTCTCTGAAAGGTCAAATATCCCTGCACTTTAAGTTTCCAGTTTTGGTGTCCTTGTAACAATACTTCCGTAATGATTGAGATTATATACATTTTCCTTGATTTGTGCCATCAGTTTGTCTACTTTACTACGAATGCTTTCTGCATTAAGATACAAAGCCTTGAAATTTGAAGAAGGGTCACTGGACCCAAAACACTAACTCTGATTTCTCTCCACAGATGCTGCCAGACCTGCTGTGTTTTTCCAGCAATTTCTGTTTTTGTTTCAGACCTCCAGCATCCTCAGTTCTTTTTTTTTTTGCCTTTAAATTTGTTCTGTTTTCGAAAACCCTTACACTTTTTAATAGTCCCTTGGTACAATATGACACATTTTTTTGCTGGAGATGATTATAATGTCTCATGTTTATCCACATGGTATTTAAGATTTGGCATTGGTTTGTTGATCTCTTCAAAATTATGCACTATTTGATCAGAGTAAGTTTATTTAATAACAGACTAAATAGGATAAGGTTTCACTTCTGAGCGGCTGGTGCTGTGCCTCTCAACCCCCATCTTGGCTTGCTCTTCTTCTTCCTCTCTCTCTTTTCCTTTGCTCGTCTTCAATTTTGGTAATCATAAGCTTGAAGAAGTAGGTTTTAAGAAGGCCCTGAAATGGAAAGAGGTGTAAAGCATTTTGCAAGTTAGCACTTTATCCTTTTCCATTTCTCCTTCATCACAGTGTTTTTTTCATGGTTGCCATCTTTTACTGTTACTTATAGTATCCTGATAACAGAGCATAGTGGGCCAGAGCTTTCCTGTGGTTTGAAACATTTTTGTAACTAAAGACTGGTGAAGATCCCTTGCTATGGTAACACGTGTAGCTTGAGTGTGATTGTAGATAATCAATGTCTTGGTTTCACTCCTGTCTGGAAAATGGTGACATGTAACCAAAAAGTATAATAGTTTTTCCATCTTGTCTCTTTCCATTTTCCTTATGCTTTTTGGGAATGTGAACTTGTCACTCAGTGGATTCCCATTTATATTTATTGATCTGAGGGACGTGGGGCAGTTCTCCTATGAAATGAAGACTTGATACAGGCAACTTCACTTGTTGCCACCTATTAACATTGATGTTTGATCCAATAACTAACTGAGTCACTTCTGTATTTTTGCAGTGCCATTGCTTTTATTTATATAATTAAGATTGTAGTTTATAGAATAAGTTAAATGCCTGATGTTCGTATGTGGCTCATGCAGATGTTAGGATGGAGATGATGTGTTTTATTACTTGGGACACGTGGGGGATGTGGATTGATTTGACTTCTGACCTTTGTTCCACCTTGTTCCAGACGTAAAATGTTTTGAAAGTATTTTCAGTTAAATAACTTGTCCAGTCATGATAAAAGATGCACTGTTCAGTTATGCCCATGCAATATATTGCTGGTATTACCTGGAATGGTTTAAATGTGAAACAAAAAAGTCAGATATGTGAAAGTTTGGCACTTGTAGAGTTAATATATCTAATGAAACTTGCCCTGAAAACAGGAGAGAGTTTAATTATTTACAGTAACCAGAGTTTGGGGTTTAGCTTGAATTGTAAATATTTAATTGCAGTGTTTTCAAGTGTTAGATTTCTCCTTCTGTCTTGTAAGGTACAATGGATCGCTCCCAAATGGAGACCGAGGACGAAGAAAAAGCAGATTTGCTTTATTTAAAAGACCAAAGCCAAATGGTGTGAAACCAAGTACAGTGCATGTTACCTGTACTCCTCAAGCAGAGAAGGTACTTCTTCAAACAAAGTTTCTAGTGATGAATACACTGGAACATTGTTTATCCTGAACCTTTTTAGGCTGCATGCACTACAAAGGCATAGTGAGTTAGAATAAAACCATTCACTCTTAGTGGGTGTGATTTCTTTGTATTTTATTTGGTGTTTGTTTTAGGGAGGAAAAAACTGGGGATGCAGGAGATTCACTGGACAGATGTTTCCAACTTGTACTAAAGAAATCAATGGCCTTAGGACATAAGATGAAACTTTATGCCACTGTTTAGGTTATTAATGCATTATGGAAAGAAGAAAGAATAATTTCTGCACAACTGGAGTCTTATTTCATACTAATTCCAATGCTGGATTTGAAGTACTCGTGCACCATTTTCAATGGTAGAAAGTTAATAGCAATTTTCCGACCTAGAACCAAGTCTCTCTTATCTATACACTTTCTATTGAAGAAAGAAAAACAAACTAGGGCCAGTAAAAAGAGATTGAGGTCAAAAATAATAAATATAATGTAGAAAGATCTAAATTTCACAAAGTTCATGTCTAGAAATTGAGTGGATTGTGGGGCCATTGTTTGGAGTCAGCTCTCCCTGGTTGGACATTACTGTGAGAAACCTTGTTTCCCAATTTGCACATTAGGTCAGAAAATGTGTTGTAAGCTTGATTTTTTTGTGTTTGTTTTTAAATTTGATTTGAATGCAAGTTTATAGGGTAACATCTGTCACTTGTTACAGGTCAGTGATCAGAGAATTCTTTTCAAGTTTAATTAATGATGCTGACTTGAAAACATAAAGATATGACTTTTTTGGCACGGTCCTCACTCTGATGCCACATAAATTAAATGTGGGTGGATTTCATAGGAGAAGAGTGATGTGCTTTTTATAAATACTACTCAAATCTTCAAGCTTTTCCTGCATCAGCAGTTTTTTCGGGGGCAAGGGGTGTGGAGGTGAGTGGTTGAAATGGTGCTGTAAATTAATTTTCTCCCCCTTTTCCTATGAGACTAGTGATGGATGCCCCGCTGGTTCAATAGGTACATGTTCAAATTTTTTGTGCAAATTCATGTTACAGACCTGTAACATTCCTGGTTTGTGCCCAGATTATGGAGTTCAAAGATCAGGCTCCAGCTTTCTTTTTTATTCATTTGTGGGACGTGGGTGTCTCTGGCTGGCCAGCATTTATTACCCGTCCCTATTTGCCTTTGAGAAGGTGGTGAGCTGACTTTTGAACTGCTGCAATCCACCTGCTGTGGGTTGACCCGCGATGCCCTTAGGGTGGGAATTCCAGGATTTTGACCCAGTGACCCTGAAGGAACGGCGATATATTTCCAAGTCAGGGTGGTGAGTGGCTTGGAAGGGAAGTTGCAGACGGTGGTGTTCCCATGTATCTGCTGCCCATGTCCTTCTAGATGGAAGTGGCTGAGCGTTTGGAAGGTGCTCTCTAAGGATCTGTGGTGAATCTTGGGCTGCGAAGGAGAAACAGTCCAGTTACCCTAGCTGAACCGTGTGAGAGGATGTCAGAGGGACAAATTCAAGATTGGCTGTGATGCCCTCCCATGATTAAATTGTTAATTAATAAGTAGATGCACTTAAAGTACTTATTTTCTCAGTGTCACCATTCTGTGTGCCATAGCAATGCCTGAAGCTTACGCTTGGGCAAGGAAGGAGTTGCTCACGATGCATCTCAGTTGTGTTGAAAACTCTGGCTCTTCATTGAAAGGTACAGGACTTTCACACCATTAAAAATAATTGGGAGCAAATGGAGTCCAATCATCAGGGCTCAACTCGGGACTGTTGTTTGGCACCAAAGTGTCTGTGCTTCCAGTTTCTCCACACAATCCCCCAGATGAGACGAAAACCGTTGTTAACATTTTGGAGTTTATGAGCGGAATGAGCACAATTACTAAGAAAAAGACTGATGATTAATGTAATGTATTGTTTGGCAGTTGTTGATGGACTGAAGATAGTGGCTGATAAAATTGCATTCCTGTTTCCATTTCTCCAATGAACCTGGTGGTTGTGCGTTTGTTGTAAATCTGTGGGATAGGATCATCCCAGTCTAACTGGAGTGGTTAGGTATTGTGAAAGCTTAAAAATCTGAGCTATCTTTAAAGGTTGCATGAAAGTGGTTCTATTTGCTGGGAATGTACTCCTTGAATTTCATCATTTTCCTTTTGTTTAATGTACTCTCTTTAATTTTTTAATAGGCGATAAATAACAAGGACCAACACAGTATTTCATATACACTGTCACGTGCTCAGACAGTGGTGGTAGAATATACACATGACAACAATACAGATATGTTCCAGGTAACTTGTGTTCTGTTTTATTAAGCATTAATGTTCTTATACAAGTGAAACAGTACAGTTATTTGAATGTGACTTTGGCCTACTTAAAATCCCATAGGTGATTATCTTTTATGTATTTTCATTTGAATCAGCTAGGCTGCAATATTTTTAATGTTTTAAAAATAGGATTTTAAAAGGCAGTACATAATTTAGATTAAAGGCACTGCATCTTCATGGCGCAGAATGAGCTGGTCTCTGGCATTTATAAGGTTACCAGATGTAATAAGTAGCTCATCATATCGTAGTAAAGGTGGTATTTTCTCTGCCGTGCGTCCAGGTGATGAGAATAAAAGTATTGATTACCAAGAAGTTTTAAGTTGTTTGTGAAATAAGCTCGTCTGATTATAAAAGACCTGCTTTTGATCAAAGACATTGAATGCTGTGAAGACAAGTGTATCTTGTTGAACTTGCTGTTCAACCATTTTTTTACTTTTATGTAAATTTATCTTGCAATAAATGTGATTTGATTTATATTTTAGCCTGAAATGTACAGTCAGTCAGCATTTGCTTTCCGTGCTATAGGGAGGTAAAGAGGATAATGTATTACAACTTAACTCGGAAGAGCGTGCCAATAATCGTGCTCCACTTTTCCACAAACAATCCTGAAATGACTCCCTCTCTGCTGGTCTGGGCACTTAAACTTTTAATGCTGCAGCCCAACCAATCAGAGGGTGGTCATCAAACTGAATTTCCTAAATTCAAAGGACTGCATCTAGAATTCTACTCCTACTGCTTCAGAAAGCAACAGTGTAGTTCACAGCTTAAAAATATGCAGCACTTGATTTTCAAGTTGCAAAACTGTCCTGGTATTTCAGTTATGTAGCAGTCCATCTTCCATTTCAGTTTATAGTCCCAAAAGAGAAAAACAGACTATGGTGTTTTATAAAATGGCTATCTTAATTATTAATTCTGTTGTTCAGTAAGTTATTTATTTGATGAATGGTGTAAAATTTTTAGCTCACTGATGACAATTTACTGCACTGTTCCTGTGAGCGCAGGTAGGAGTAGGGAGATTCATATTCATGGATTGTTGTTCGCTCCATTGCATGCTGCCAGTGAGGTTTGGTCTAGTTTGATGTTGATAAAAAGTAAATGGGAATGTACCACACTCACATGTGGCTACATTTATAAGTAATTGTAGTTGAAGTATATAGCATTGGGCTTTTAAAAAGCAAATTCAATGAAAGATTCCATAAAAGTTGTAACGCGAGAACGTTAAAAAGCTGGATTATGAGGCAACTAATAGGTTCATGTGTTGCAAAACAATGACTTGATCACAAAGTGTCATGTACTAAGAGCTTTCATTCACCAGAAAAATTCCAAATGGATTCAAATGTTGCATTCAGAAGACTGGTTATCTGCCTTTGAGATGTATACTTTCAAATGACTTTTCAATTAAAAGTAGTTGGAGTTCAGTGTGCAGAGAGTAAGTCATCAAATTGCAGTGCACACGTTCAGCTTGATGCATCTGGTGATGAGCATGCTCATCAACAATAAGATTCTTCTGACTTCTGTGTGTTTAAATACTTTCTAGTGAAATATTGGTTCAGTGGTGCTCCATTTCAACTGTGCAAAACCCAGTGTTCTGGATTGTTTGCCAAACACGCAATTCCATCATGGCCTGTGTCCTGGATCTTGGTTCCAAATCCTTCTTGAGTATAGTCTTGACATAGTTTTGTTTTGGTGTTTTGGAACAGACTGTGGCAGTGACCTTGCAGTGCCAAATATCATGTCAAAATTATCATGAGGAACTTCTAAGCTTCCCAAACTATCGCTCCCTAAATTCAAATTTGTTCTTTGAGGTGGCTGATCTCAGTTGGACTTTCTGAATAGGTTCTCCATCTTAGCAGGAAAACTGGGAATGGCCAGTTCAGATTCAGATTGGTGTTGCACTTCCATGGTGCAAGTGGGTTGGAGCCCACACTCTGCTTCGGTTATTTTATTCTGCTTTGGAAGAATAAGCATTTTAATCACAAAATAGAAAATGAGAATAGTTTGAAAACATATCGATAGAACCTTCTGTTGGGTACTCTGCACGCAATGTAACCTGTCATTTTTGTTTTCAGAAGTTGTGTCTTGCTGTATATTTTTGCTTAAGTTTTCATTCTTGTTTAATGTTGTTTAAAGGCTTTCTTTAAAAAAAATCAATGTATCTTCTGTATGAGCTTGTGCTTTACCTTAGTCTTTGTATGTACCTCCCCAATTCTCAAGTATCATTCCCCCACTCAAGCATGTAAGGGACACTGATGACTTAACTAAGTTTGAACCACACTACTCAGAATAAACTAGTGGCTTCCATCAGTTCAATACTTAATGCTAACAAGTTTGTGAAATAATAACAAGGACTGGTGATGGAGGTAATTGTATTTCACAAAATGTTTTGTCTGTTGTTGACTTTTATTAGATTGGCCGTTCAACCGAGAGCCCAATTGATTTTGTGGTGACGGATACTGTGCCAGGAAGTCAGAGTAATGCCGATACTCAGTCTGCTCAGAGCACCATATCCCGATTTGCCTGTCGTATTATATGTGAAAGGAATCTTCCCTACACTGCCAGGATATATGCAGCTGGTTTTGACTCATTTAAGAATATTTTCCTCGGAGTAAGTCAAATGCGAAGTAAGCTGTTGACTTTATTGTATTTGGTTTGAAGTGCTTTTGCCCAATGGAGGCTCGTTTTTGTTTTCTCCTCTTTCAGGAGAAGGCTGCCAAATGGAAAACTTCTGATGGTCAGATGGATGGTTTAACCACAAATGGTGTCCTCGTTATGCATCCAAGACTTGGTTTTACAGAAGATTCCAAGCCAGGAGTCTGGAGAGAAATATCTGTCTGTGGCAATGTTTTCACCCTGAGAGAAACTAGGTCGGCACAACAGCGAGGGAGAATGGTTAGTTACCCAGAAAAAGCGTATAAAAAGATATTGAGACATTAAGGAGGATATCTTGCATTGTGATGCTTTTTAACATAGAATCTTTGACTTAATTAAGTATTCAGTTAAAGAAGTAGCATTTTAAACTTGAATAATTCACAGTCAGGTTCTGCCTCTTGTTTGCCAACATACAACTGGCTGGGGAACCACAATTTCTTAATACGGAACATTTTCATTAGCCTAGATGCATTCTAACTTTAACTTTAGCTGTTTGCTGTTTTGAGTTTACAAACAGTATCTTTGTCTGAATGTGACATGACAAATTGCTTCTTCACAATACATTCTTCTGATTCACTTTTATTTTTATTTCCCAGGTTGAGAATGAAACCAATGTACTGCAAGATGGTTCTTTAATAGATCTGTGTGGAGCAACTCTACTTTGGCGCACTGCAGAGGGACTCTCTCACACTCCGACTGTTAAACATCTGGAAGCCCTTCGTCAGGAGATCAATGCAGCCAGGCCACAGTGTCCGGTTGGGTTTAATACACTGGCCTTCCCCAGTATGAAAAGGAAAGATGTAGATGAGAAACAACCATGGGTGTATCTTAACTGTGGACATGTACATGGCTTTCATAACTGGGGAAACAAGGATGAGAGAGATGGAAAAGAGAGGGAGTGCCCTATGTGCCGATCACTAGGCCCATATGTTCCACTGTGGTTGGGGAGCGAGGCTGGATTTTACGTTGATGCAGGACCTCCAACTCATGCGTTCAGCCCTTGTGGACATGTTTGCTCAGAAAAGACTACCACTTACTGGTCCCAAATCCCTCTTCCTCATGGCACCCACACTTTCCATGCAGCTTGTCCTTTCTGCTCCACACAACTCACTGGGGAACAAGGATACGTTAGACTTATTTTCCAGGGACCTCTTGACTAAGGACACCACTTTATTAACTGCAGGGGAAAACAGATCGTAGAAAGACGTTTGATATCTTTGAGAATTATAAGCTAGTTTTCTATACTGAATTCCATGGGTTTTGGATTTTGTCTGTTCTGGAACATAACCTGACTTGTGTAGTCCTTCTTGAGGAAAGAAACCTCGTTGTTTTCATTGATGTTGTCTACAGAACTGCTTTTGATATGTCTGCATTTCTTAAACACAAGTATTTTGAAATACAGAAACTTCTTGCCCAAATATTTAAAATAAACAAACCACTGTTATGTTGGTCCCTCTTCACAAATACAGTACCAATTATAAAATTTGAAGATTGTGTTGTTTTAATAAAATGTGGACTCATTTTTAGCTGATTCAACCTAATTTGTAATGGGCTGAATAAATCTAATGCAACTTGATGAGATAGTCTTTTGGTCATAAAAGCTGCAGTATGATCCAGTAAAATATACCTTGTTTCAACAACATTTGTGTAAAGAATTTAATCCTAAAATTTAGGAACAAAAGGTTTGATTTATTACTTTGCGCTATCATTATAAGATACTGCGATACACTTGTAGTATCTGTGTAAGAGGAGCCAGTGATCTTTTTATCTTGGGCAGAATAATTACCTCTAGCTTCCAAAGGAATATCAGCAGTTAACTACAGGTAACATTAACAGATCTTTGATCTGTTGATTACAGTTGAGACCCAAGGTAGATGCAACTTCACAAAGCCTCATGTGTTTTATTCAGTAGCAACAGGCTGGGGGTAAGAATTCATATGAATTGGGCACACCAAATATTTTGCAGCTATTTACTACAAAGTAATGACATGCCACTGTAATGTAATTGCATAAAGCTAACTCTGTGCAACTGTCTGCATTTAACATCCCAATAATGGCCAGTGCATGCCATTGTGCCAAAATAACATTTGACATGCTCTCATAGTGATAAAGGTGCACCACCTTGAATATCATTAATTGTTTACACAAGCTCACCTGCTAAACAACTTCCCAGCTGTAACTGAGGATGCGTGAAGTTGGCCTATTTTACTGTATTGCAGCTTTCAAGTTCTGTAGGGTCTTTTGTACTAAATTATTGCCTGAAATGTATGTAGCTTTAGGTGTTTGTAGGGGATGCTTAGCATATGTGGAATGCTAACTTATAAAGTCTTGATTTTGTGGAGTCATATTATCTTGGGATGTGCAAAACTGCTCTCTGATTCTGGTCAACTAACTTGTACCCTGAGTAATAATTAACTTTGTCCCTTTAACTTGGTATAATTGCTACCCTTAATTTAGTTTGCTGTATAGAATAAACCTTCTCATTACAAATCAAATTTTAGAAGAAAAGAAATGCTGCATATTGGTGTTAACAAAATCCTTTTGTTACCATAGATGAGTCAAACAGTCTCTCAAATTTGAGCTGATTTACTTGACTAGTATTTTTTTTATTTTGTGTTCTCTACCTGTTTCTGATTCCCTTACTTATTTTCTCACCCTCTCAATTTACACCCACTGCAGAAAAAGGAACAAATATGTAAATGTGGCCACTACATGACCCGTTAATTGTAATACAACATTTCCTAGCTCTGATGATTAATACTGACAGTAGTACATTAATCTGTCTCAGGGTTTAAGATGTGGATTCAGCACTCATTCATGAATTCTGTTTGAGCAGAAATTTGGTAAGTGATTCTTTGTTGCACAAATATATGGATTTTAAAAAAATCTCAATTGCAGTCATGTTTATTTGTTGCTGTTGGCATATTCAACTTTAACAGTTCTATTAAGGAAATAAATCTGGTTTTTGGAAGCTTCTGCTTTTTTGTCAAAGTTCAACAAGATGGTGTTCTCTTATATTTCAATTGGGCCAGTCTGCCAAGGGCATTAATGGTGTGGCAGCCATCAACATGTAAGGCCAAAATGCACTGCTTAATTCACTCTTCTTTTGATATAGCATTCATTGAACAGAGGAAGTTGTGTGTTACTGAGAAAGGAGGGTGGTAATCTATAGAACTAGCTGCACCTGAAACTGAACTTGTGACTTGTGACATCAAGTGCAAAACATTTGATGTGATCATAACCAGTTAGAGGCAGGGATTAGCCCTGAATAATCAAGGGTTTTAGAAATGTGGTCAGTAAATGTATTGGTATAATAAGGTAATGGTCTGTGCTTGTTGGCTCTTGGGTAACTCTTTGAAAGAGCTTGTGGAATATAGTTTCTTTTAGCACCTTAGAACCATAAAGTATGTGGAAACTTCCACTTCCTGCACTCTTCCAACAAATTAGAGGAAATATTAAAGAATTGGACAAGTGATGTTCTAAATATTGCATTGTCTTTCACTCTTTGAAGTGTAAACTGAAGATTTCTAAACCAGCAATTGATGGGAGAACATTACTGAAATGAAATGTGGGTGTTTTATTTGCCATTCAGCTTGATAAAATCAGACTTTGGTAGATTTATACCTGTCTGTGAATTTGGTGGGATGGGTTGGGATTTGATATCTTGCTAGTTATTCTGTTGTCAGTTCTTTTTTAAAGTTCCCAGCTGGCCATCAAAGTCTTTGTTTTGCCAAATCCTCCTCATTTTGTTATTTTTCAGACTGTTCAGCAGAATCCTTCTCTCTTCCCACAGCTTCACACTTCAAGCATGAGAGGCAGTAATTTACATGTATTTCCTTAATCTGTAATGTACTGTTTTGCCCGTGGTATGGTCTTCATATTGACAGACCAAAGGTCTAATTAGTGCTTTTGTTTTGATTTTGACCTCCATGTGGCTGGCTGTTTGAACTCCTTGCCTACACTCCATTTCGCCCTGACCTGCCATCTTTGACCAATTGCACAGTTTCAATCAAGATTATAACGTACTGCAGAAATAGTGCTTCATTTTATTCCTATGTGTTTGCAAATCTTGGGACTGATTATCAACTTTACCAAATCAAGATTCTCACCATTTTATGTAAACAGTGTTGTCCAATAGCCACATGTGGATAATTGGAAAGGTGTGCCCATGTGTATTTCAACCTATGTGTATGGTGATAAAATTGCAAGAGAACAGTCAAAGTGCTCATGTTTTCTTACAGCGTGCGCTTCAGTACTTCCAGGTGCTGCTTACTGGTTATCTGCTGAAATAGTATGTAACCGATTGAAAATGTTGGACTTCAATACTGTTGAAACCAGCACAAGTGCAGCAATTGGATCATTCCTTGTCCATTCACTCTACACAAATAGCAGCTCCTGAAAGGCACATCCTGACAATTGAGTCTGGATGAAGAGCAGGGAGAGTCTGCTGAATTTCCTGTCTATCAACATGCTCTGCAACCATGAGCAGTCAAAAGCAGTCCAAATTTTGGCTTCAAAGAAAAGCCGTGAAGGGGCTTTACGATATGCTGCGATAAATACATGTATACCAAAGTTTGGAATTCAGATGCTTTTGTAGTGAATGGTGAAAGGCATCTGTTCAGAAAACATGTTTAGCTCTACTTTGTGTATAGTATCTTCTAATCAATGCACGTGGTGAAATAGTACCACTGTTGCAGAAGCGGTGCATCTGGCCAGTCAGCAGTTTCCAGTGTTTCTGCTTTTCTGCTGAGGCCACAAGACTCCACTTTTACGATTTGTAGTTCTAAAACACTACTGCATGTAGACCAGCAATGTACACACGATCTGATCAGACCAGTGGTGAAACTGATTTCTATTTTGTTGCTGGTCGTCATGGTTTCCAGTGTGCTTCAGTTTAAGAGAAATGGCTCCAGCGTGCAGCGATCCTTGTTTTCTCTTACAACTACATTCAACTTAAGTTCTGAGGAAGGGTAACCGGACCTGAAACGTTAACTCTGACTGTTCTTCACAGATGCTGCCAGACCTGCTAAGCTTTTCCAGCAACTTTTGTTTTTTTTCAACACGAGATATTGAGTCAGATGTTCAGCTCATGTTAACAGTAGGCTTTATGGAATTTCTTAGAGGAATATGTCAAAAATCACATGACACCAGGTTATAGTCCAACAGGTTTATTTGAAATCACAATCTTTGGGAGCACAGCCCCTTCGTCAGGTGCAGTGAGAGGACAGCACTTCCAAATTAAAGGAGGAAAAAGAGGTAGAGAGGTGTAGGAAGGGAATTCCAGAGTTTGAGGCCCTGCAACTGAAGGTGTGACCACCACCCATGGAGGGTTGAGGACAGACAAAGCAGCCAGAATTAGTGCAGCACCCATTTGGAGGGATGTGGAATTGAGGGGGTTTTAAAATAGGGATCTATGAGGCCTTAAAGTGATTTGAAAGCAGGGCTGAGTATTGCACAAATCAAGCAGCTGCCATAGGCCAGCGAGCACAGGGATGATAGTGGAGCAGTGGGCAGCTGAGTGTTGATGACTCGTATTTGTGGAGAATAGAATTTGTGAAGACCAACCAGAAGTGCAGTGGAATCTATAAGTCTGAAGATAACAAACATGAATAACAGTTGTGATTAGAAATTTCTGGTTTGTAGCACAAGACTCATGCATTTGTTTTCACTAAGAGATATTCTTAATGCTAAAACTTTCTGGGGTTTTGTACATGTCTGGACCCAATTCAGTACCTTGCACACAATGATGTGGAGTTAAATACTAATGCAAATAGACATTTGGACAGTTTGCATGGATGCCAATTTAAAGGTAAAACCAACATTTCAACTTACGAGATGAAAGTGCTGATGAGATGGCAAGCGAACTCTAATTGGTGGAGGTGTTGCTATGGAGAAGCACCAGTTATTTTGTTGGGCATTGACTGTGGTCAAGGCATTCTGAGCAATGCATCAACTAATTCCTGTCACCTATGTTGTTTGTTTGAAACAGATGCAGTGTGTGGAGATGTTCTTTCTGTCTGCGAATAACAGAGCCCTGTATATTACTGTATGGGGTTTCCAATACACACACTGCACCATATTGCAAGCTTGACTGACAATCCCGAATTAGTTGTCAACGTAATTCTTCACACATTTAGGAATATCTAGCAAATGTTGTCCAAATGTGGAATCGAATCTAATGTTGGACACTTGCAAGTTGTGCAAACGCAAGCTGATTGGGTACAGTTAGTATCTTGGTTGTTGCAAACAACGGAAAGCATTCTGTTTGAAATGACCCACTAGTCTTTGGGACTTTTCTTTTTATGCGGATAAAAAAATTATTCACAACAAGAATTGACTATTTGAAACATAGAAAACCTGAAACTAGGGTTGCAAGGTTACAGAGCTCAGTGGAATTTGGAGTAATCAGATCTTTCATGATCTTGTTGAATGGCAAAGCAGCCTTCAGTGACCTCCTCCCACTTATACATATGTTTATTTAAAAATCTATCAACAGGCCTTGCGTTATTTTTTTAAAAAATGAAATCTGTATACTATGGTGAATACTGTTGAAGATGAATACAGTTTTCAAGGCTTCAGGGAAAAGGCAGGACGATGGTATGAGATAAATTGTTCAATAATAAACAAAAATAGAAATTGCTGGAAAAGTCCAGCAGATCCGGCAGTGGAACCCAGTTCTGAGGGTCACTGGACCTGATTTCTCGCCACAGACGCTGCCAGCAATTTCTGTTTTTGTTTCTGATTTACAGCATCCACAGTTCTTTTGGTTTTTATTTGCTCAACTATAAGGCTGACATAGACATGATGGGCTGAATGGTCTCCTGTGTTTTGGTCATTCTGTGATTCTATAAATCCAAATTTGCACAGTTTGAGCTGCAGACAGTTTTCTCCAATGTGGAGATTTCTACATATGAGACCATGCATTTTAGTTTATAATTCCAAAAAAACAAAAAGTAAGTTGGGCTGCTATAACTGGAATAGCAAGAAAGTTTTGCAACTTGAAGATTGTGTTGTCTTTTATTGAGCTGTGCAATATAATGTTTTTTTGGAAGCAATAAGGGGGAGACCTTGAGACTGAACAGCACTGAGAATCTTGAGTCAAGGAAATTCTGCTTGACGACAGCCCTCCAATGTTGTTCTTGGAGCTTAAGACTGAAAGACACATCCAGAGCCTGCAGACAGAAAGTCTCCATATCTCTCTAAACTAGCAAAGCTTAAAAGGTCTTTTCTTGTATGAATTCTAAATTCACTTGAATTGGAACACAACCATCACCGTACAGACAACAGCATCTTTGTGATCTGGACTTCTGAGCTTCAGAAATTTTTTTTGCCCTGTTTACGTTCTTGTTCCACCCACGTGTGTTACGCTATTTGTCTGGTGTCTGTCTTAATGTGTATGTTTTTGTGTGGTGGGAGGTGGAAGTGGTTGAAGTTACATAAATTTTCTTGTTAAAGTAACACCACAGCGCTACCAACCCATAAGGCTGCTCTCTCA